GCAGACAATATCTTATTTCTAGCACAAGTAAAGGTAAACAATATTTTACCTAATCCAAAATGTCTTACAGTATCTTGGCCAAAATCAACATTCGAAGCACATACTCGAACACTGCGATCCAAAAGTGAAAACTCACACAAACACTGCATCATACGCTTCGAGTAGAGAAATTGCTCAGGCCGCGCCTGTCTCTAATTCAATTAACCGTGCGGGCGGTCGGACTACAAATATTTGAGGACGACTACGACACGTCTTTAGTAAAGTGTGCAACCGCGACGACACCGAGACATGAATGAGGAAACGATATTAAAAGTGAAGATTTCATCCGGCCTCGCCTAGCTCGCGTCCTCCGCAAAAAACCTGTTATAGCGATTCACCTACTGATCTAGAGAACTCTTCGGATAGCGCTGTTGCGATTCACAATATTATTATTTTTTATTAAATCCGTGGTTACGCAGATTCAATAGCATTTCTGATAGGTCGACACTTCAGGCTTTAAATATTTGATGGGTGAAAGGAGACCTACCTTTGCGGAAACTTGTGTCCAACAACGATGTCACTTTATTAACTATTTTGAACAAGTATAAGCACTTAAACACTGAATAAAAGTCCACAAACAGTTAATAACACAAATAAATAGTCCACACCACGATAAGTAATATAAAATTTACAAAGTGTGCGGCGGAAATATGCACTATCCCATGAAAGACGCCATTTTGATTTCGTCAACTAACGCCTAAAGACAATATTCTTTTTATTAATGTTTTTGGCTCAGATGCTTATCTTTTAAGCCATGTCGTAATTTCATTCTGAATCTACGTTTTTATAGATTTTTAGTATCAAAAATCTTTAATAGTTCACTGCTTCACAATATGTTGACGTGTCACGTTGCGTAGTTTTTGGGAGATTTTGACGGCAACTTGAGCCAGCAGACAGTTGGCGATTAGGATCTCAAGACGCCTAAACAGACCTTATCTTGAGATTCATATCACCATCGGAGCCGTTCTTTTACCATTCCCACTAATAAATTGATCACATGCACATTTTTTTTATGTAAGTTAAAGACAACACAAATATAGACTTTTATAGAGTATTTTTGTTTTATAAATCATAAAAGATAGTATGTCTATTAATTATAAAATTATATAAACTAATATTATTTAACAAAGGTGATTATGTTAGGTGATTATTAAATTAAGTTTATCAACACTTCAAAATTTACGGTGTACTGGCAAATATAACATGAAATACATAATTTATTTTGCGTTAAAGTACAAAAATTATACAGCGTAAAGTGTTCCTTAAAAACATTATTTTGTTAACTGAATAAAATTAAACGTTAGATTTTTTTTTATTATTATATATATAACCTTTGCTAACCCCTTTTTAATTTATTAAAATACATAATTCCTTAACAATTAGGGTAATACACGATTGTCACGTCTTGCTGTTGTGCCTTGCAGAAACAGTAATTTACCCCACACTAGAAATTTCTCACGTATCGTGGCGACGTTTTAGTATTTGTAGGCAATAGAAATTCTTGATCCTCGCAGTATTCGAACCCGTGGGTCACAGAGCCACTGGTTTTGTGTTTGCACCATAAGTATTAAGATTTTATAATAAAGGTAATTCTAAAGGTCTCACAACGGTAACGACGACACGGACCGACTTACCGAACACGATCAAGTGGCTACAGATTCCTTGCTACGAAAGATTTCAACGCCCACCACGCTGAATGAATCGGTTCTCGTTTAACTCTGATTGGGGGTGACTAAATCCAACCCAGTTTAAGCCCCAGAACACAGGTTTGCATTTTTAACGCCAAAAGAACCCGTTCGTTGCAACTTTTCAATTTTAAGGCTCGAATGCCGATATCGAATGGCGTTTAGTTCTGAATTCACCTGGAAGGGTCACTAAAAAGCTTGATGGGCTTAGTAGTGGGATAGTATTTTATGCTGGCTCACTGCTTGCAACATTACAAGGCGCAAGTTCGGCTTCTCATGGAATGTTCGAAGCAACCTTGAATATTGTTCTCAAGTTTGGTCACCTTACTATGAGGTTCATAAGAGTGGAATTGAACGAGTACAGCGGAGGTTTCTTAGTATGCTAGCATTGAAATTTAACCGACTTCGCTCCTTAACTTCATATGATGAACAGCTAAAACATTTCCGTATATCTTCTTTATATAACAGGCGGAAACTTTTGGATTTGAGCTTCCTCTATAAACTGTGCAATAATGGCATCGACTGTTCTCAATTACTGGAAATGGTTAACATTAATGCTCCAAGCAGATTACCACGATTGAATGTCTACAAGCTGTTTATGGTCCCACCTCATAGGACTAACCTCGGTCTTAATTCAGCATTATGGAGAATGTTTAGACTGTATAATGATATATCTAGGCCTTCTGATTTAGATATTTTCAATGACAATTTAAATATTTTCAGAAGAAAAATGTTACTTTATTTAGAATCTTAATGATGAATGTAAACCCTTTTTAATTTATCATAAATACGCAATTTTGCTACTGTAATATTAAATTTTATGATAATTAACTTTTCGCAACATTACTCTGTGTAAGCTGTGGTTGCCTATAACTGGGTGAGCACATTTCATGTTTCTCTCAATGCTTGGATCTTGTTTTTAGTATCTGTGTATCATCTGTCGGTGACCCTTATAAATAAATAAATAAATAAATAAAAATATTGTTCTCATCTCTGGGCCGGGGCATCCATGGCCAGCTCCTTTCACTTGACCGCAACCAGTGCAAAGCGGTAAATAATTATTATTCCATTGCCTTAATTATGAGGAGTGGTGAATAAGATCTGCAAATTGGTGTATTGGTTATTCTCTCCCAATACAAATCCTTAATATAATCAGACAAATAATAAGAAAATAATTAATATAATAAGACCCCTCGTACCTGACCATAGCCTTATTCAAGGGAGAGGTTTACCCCTAAAGCAAGCACGATGACACAATTTTTATGATTCCAATTGGTATTTAAATTATCCCGTAAATACCTGAAACAAGACTTTTTGTTAAATGACATCTTATTCGTTATTTACATTTCATATATTCAAAGACCATTTATTTTCTTATTATACCGTTATTTCTAAAAAAATCTAAGTTTTGATAAAACATAGTAAAGATCTCACCTGGCATTGCTCTCCATCTGTTCCTAAGGTTTAATCGCAATCGATTTAGTCAATCTGAAGATTAGACCGAACAGATAGATAGACAGACAAATAAAACCATGCGTCAGTGTCATGGAACACTCGGTAGGAACGAAGTTCCTTATTGTTGATAAACGTATTATATTATTGATTATACGTCATTTAAAATAAAATACACTATGACGCAAGGGGTAATGACAAAAATCTTACACTTTTTGTCGCCTAGTTCCCATCCGCCAAACCCATACCGTCCGATAAATCACTTCGTTCCAAAATTTCAAAATGGTTATTTGTCTTAATTGGATGCGAGTAACCTCGTGAGCATAATAAAAGACAGCTCTTTCAATATTACAGACAAAAACTTAAATTTTATTTTAAAAAGCAAATAAATTCCATCGCTGCCGCTGTGGTAAAGACATTATCAGTCATCACGGCCTGGCATGCCAGCGGAGTGCTGGTCGCATCTCTTGCCATACCACCATTAATGACGCTGTCTGACGGGCCTTCTGCTGTTGCCAAGTTTTCTTTTTTTATGTCTAAAAAGCGGCGCAAATATCCGCCCTCGGAGAGGGATATATGTTTGCGGTGTTTGGTGTAGAAACGCTGGAGCCGTGAAGAATGACATTTGTACCAGCAGACGGCGGTGATTTAGCGAGTATATTTACATGGTAATCATAAGGTATAAGTTAATAAAATACTTTTTTGTTTTGATTTCTTTAATATTTTAATTAGAAAAATATATGTTACATATCTTGAATTAAAATAATGTTTAATTACCATGTTTGAACATGTTTAGTGACCGTTACAACACATATTATAGTTATGCTGATTTTAAGATTCTCAAAGATAATTTAATTAAACATACAAAGATACAGCTAGACTGCAAAATTCAGTAATTCAATCAGAATATACATATAAGAAATTACATATGTAGTGTTGGCGTAAGAGAATCGACCCGTGGGTGTGGTAAAAGGCGTGCTAATAACATTTTATAACTTCCGATAGATGATATATAACTATCGAGTTTACGTCAGACATGAAAACCCGAATGAGAAACTCAAACCGGTGCGGTGATGGGAATAAAGACATTTAAGTAGGCCTATAGTATATTTAAATCTTTTTGAATGGGAACTTACGTCAAATGTGTGGGATGCCTTGTATTGCGATCGTCAATCCACCTGTCATACGTGACGAATAAGATTCGTGTAGAATCTACTAGTTAGTCTGTGCGAATAAGTCAAATAATTCATCGCTAACGCCGCAAAAAGGGGTTGAACCTCAATTTTTTTTAAGATTACAGGAGAGCAAGAAAACATTTATCACTCCCCGATTACTAACTTTTTTTTCATTAAAAAATTAATTGTATTTGTAGTTTTCCATTAAATCTAATACTTATAATTTTCTATAAAAAAAAGAGGTAGTAATCGGGGAAATATAAATGTTTTCTGGCTCTCCTGTATTTAAAAAAAATGAAGTTCGCCCCTTTGCAGCGTCAGTGACGAATTGTTGCAACGGGTCGGGCCCATTTGTAGCAGTAGATTTTTATGGTCTGATAAAGACGACCAGAGAGTTCAAACGAGTAAGAACGTGACGGTAGGCATATATCATTAAATCGATATACTAACCAGAATCCATATTACTTACTATCATCGGCATGTGATATTTCGTAGTTAATTGGACCTTTAAACCTAAAAAAAGGGGACTTCGGGCAACTGGTTCAGCCCAGTATCAATCTATAGCCTCTCTATAGGGTTTTCGGTGGCGCGGTGTCACTATATTCACCACGTATTTGGTAACTTTATTATTATTATACGGCAACAATTTAGTTGTCAAAAGAAACTTGAAAGCAGCTGTGCTTGTTAGTACGTGTGTTTTCGTTTGATATGATTTTATCAAAAATGGCAGAGTAAAACGGTATCCACAACATTCATAGATGCGAGAAACGAATTTAACATGTCCAGCCGCCGTTCTTTACTCGGATCGGCATTGGACGCTCTTCCAGCTCCCACAGACCCGCTTCGGGAGTTGTTCGAGGCTTGTAAAACGGGAGACGCAGCTCGAGTGAAGAAGCTTATAACACCTCAAACAGTTAATGCTAGAGACACAGCTGGTCGTAAATCTACACCTCTGCACTTCGCTGCAGGTATTATTTTCTATATGCGATCATTATATGCTTGTTTATGTCAAGAAAATGTAAGAAAACAATGGAAAAGTGAAAGGTGCATTTGGTGGTAATTTTTTGAGAATTGCATAATTGGTCACGCTGTCTGAACGCGACTGGCGTGATTTATCCATTTCTGGTTATTGTTCCAAACTGTTAAAATCAGTTTTGTTGATGATTTGCGTTGGTTTGATTTGTGCTTTCTGAATACAAAATTGAAAGTGTTTCTTGTTTTTAATCATGCAAAGTAAAGATTCATGTTAGGTACCCATTTATAATAAACATTAGTGGTACATTTATGGTCAGTTTTTTAAATTATTGAATAACTGATACTGGTAAAATAAGAAAAATGATGTTCCGCTTACACACAATAAGTATGTAATAGGAAGCTTTGTTTTTTGTGTTTGTTAGTTGCTACTAGAATCTATTTAACTAGAAAAACTAGAAAACTACATTCTTGAGCTTTTAGTGTTTTTATTTATAGCCTGTATTATTGTATTTTGTTCTTTGTTTAGAGGAACTTTATTTTAAAAGGTAATATTTAAAAAGAGTGCAATTGTGTACACACGTACGAAGTGAAACTTCTTTATGACATCATTTTTCTTTTATTTTGTATTTTACATAAGTAGGTTAATTAATATTGTACTCATGCAGACCCAGCCGTGAAATTTATAAGAAAATGTATCATTTTTAGGGTTCCGTACCCAAAGGTTGGGTTTCTTAATTGTCTTCCCAGGGCAGAGGTTTTCCCGGTAACAATGGTAAAAGTAAAAAATGCCTCAATTTTTTAACTGGCTTAAAAAGGAGGATGTTCTCAATAGAGTGTATGTTTTTTTTGTATGTATGTTACACAATATCTTTGCAGAATGAAAACCAATTTTGATGATTCTTTTTTTATTATATATCTTTTCTTATTTATATTTTTTATTAGGTTACACTTAAAGGGTACTGGGGGCCGTCTCTGCGTAACTTTCATCATGGGGGGTATATTGCCATAGTTGCCACGCTTGGCGAGCGGGTTGGCAACCGCAGTTTTTTATTGTATTTTGCCGTTACCAGGAAGATGCTGCTGCCCATCTCCTGCCTGTTTCCCTTTGTCGCCTTTTACGACACCCACGGGAAGATATGGGGTAGTGGATATTCTTAACCGCCACTACACGGCAAACCAAGTCTCCAAAGTCTTTGCCAGAGATCTGTCTGCCAGAAAGAGCCAACTGTCAAAGCTGAAGACCGAATGTGGCAGCATCGTTTCCGGGGCACCTGAGATTTTGAGTGAGATTGAGAGGTTCTATGGGCAGCTGTACACGTCATCGTTGGAGCCGCACGCAAGTGTGAGTAACGATCCAAGAGCGAGTCTTATCCGACATTGTTCTGATGATATGCCGGACGTCAGTCTGAGCGAGATTAGAATTGCTCTCCAGCACCTTATAAACGGCAAGGCCCCAGGCGAGGATGGAATTACAGCGGAGCTTCTGAAAGCGGGTGGAAAACCAGTACTTGAAGTCCTTCAGAAGTTCTTTAATTCCGTCCTCCATGTTGGCATTACACCGGAGGCGTGGAGCAGAAGTGTGGTGGTCTTGTTCTTCAAGAAAGGCGACAATGCTCTCTTGAACAACTACAGACCGATTTCCCTTCTGAGCCGCGTCTACGTGCTGTTTTCGAGAGTCATTACGAATTGTCTCGCGCGCAGACTTGATGACTTCCAGCCTCCCGAACAAGCCGGTTTCCGAAAAGGCTTTAGCACGATAGACCACATACATACCCTTCGGCAAATTGTACAGAAGTACGAGGAGTACAATTTGCCACTATGTCTGGCGTATGTGAACTATGAGAAAGCCTTTGATTCCGTCGAAATTTGGGCGGTTCTTCAGTCCCTTCAGCGATGCCAAGTTGACTGTTGGTATATCGAAGTGTTGAAGTGCTTGTACAGTAGGGCTACGATGGCTATCCGAGTACAGAACCAGAGTACGAAACCTATCCAATTGTAGAGAGGTGTAAGACAGGGTGACGTCATATCCCCGAAACTCTTTACCGCTGCATTGGAAGATGTTTTCAAGCTTCTGGACTGGAAAGGATACGGTATCAACATCAATGGCGGGTACATCACTCACCTTCGATTTGCCGACGATATAGTCCTTATGGCAGAATCGCTGGAGGACCTAAGCACTATGCTCAATGACCTCAATAGTGTTTCCCAACGGATAGGTCTTAAGATGAACATGGACAAAACAAAGATCATGTTTAATGTCCATGTCACACCTATGCCGGTAGTTGTTGGGAACACTAAGCTCGAAGTTGTTGACGAGTATGTTTACCTGGGACAAATAGTCCGACTAGGTAAGTCCAACTTCGACCGAGAGGTCAATCGACGGATTCAACTTGGTTGGGCAGCGTTCGGGAAATTACGGCACATCTTCTCCTGACGAGTATACCTCAAAACTTGAAAACGGGACTGTACACCCCGTGCGTGTTGCCAGTGATGACATACGGAACTGAGACGTGGTCCTTCACTGCTGGCCGGATGAGGAAGCTCAAGGTCGCTCAGCGAGCTATGGAGAGGGCTATGCTCGGAGTTTCTCTGCGTGATAAACTCAGAAATGAGGATATCCGCAGTAGAACCAGAGTGACCGACATAGCCCAACGGATTAGTAAGCTGAAGTGGCAATGTGCCGGCCATATAGCTCGAAGAACCGACAACCGATGGGGAAGAAAGGTTCTCGAGTGGCAGCCTCGTACCGGCAGGCGAAGTGTAGGGCGTCCCCCCACTAGATGGAGTGACGACCTGGTAAGATATGCAGGAAGTCAATGGATGCAGGTGGCTAAGGACCGTGCTTTGTGGCATTCTTTGGGGGAGGCCTATGTTCAGCAGTGGACTTGTGAAGGGCTGTAATGATGATGATGATGGTGACACTTCAAGGGTGGTGGTCCCATATCAATTTGGAAAAAAAAATCCACACCTAAGGGTAGAAAATAAGTAACATCTTTTTTAGCAGTTTGAAGTAGTTTTTTATTTTTTGTTAAACTATTTAATTATTTTATCTTTATATATAAAAATTACATGTCACATTGTTTGTCTGCTATGGACTCCTAAACTACTGAACTGATTTCAATAAAATTTTGCACACTGCGTTCAGTTTGGTCCAACTTGAGAGATAGGATAGTTTTTATCCTGATAAATGACCCTCAATATTTTTTATTACGAATTTAAGGATTTTTTATAGGACAAAAGGTCTTCGGAGAGGGCAGAACAACGTCTGCCTGGCGAGCTAATTATATATAAAAATTACGTGTCACATTGTTTGTCCGCGCTGACTTCCTAAACTACTGAACTGATATCAATGAAATTTGCACACTGTGTGCAGTTTGGTCCAACTTGAGAGATAGGGTAGTTTTTATACCGATAAGTGACTCTGAATCTATGTTTTGAAAATTTAAGGATTTTTATAGGTCAGAGGATCGCCGCAATATACACATATGCATAATATGATATTTAATATTAAATAGTGGTACAAGGTTGATTTCACTTTATTACAATTTTGTGGAAGGTTGTTTGCTTGAATAGAATAGATTTTTACAATAAATATTAATCATTAATATCGTTCCTTCTTGCCAACTGGGCAGGATAGTTCGATCATCCATCAGCTGGACATGCCAGCACATGTAATAGAGATTTTTGGTGAAGATGTCATGATTAGCCTCTCTTAGGTTCTGCTTTGTCCTAGATGCATGATTCTACACAAGGAATATATTTATGATTTAATACAACAATCTTGACAGAGCCGCGGTAGTTCAGGTTCTAAGCCGTAAATTATACAGTACGGGAGCAACCCGGGTTCGATCCCCGCTGACACAAATGAAATTATTTTTTAATTTTTTTTGTAATTTGACGTGTTGGTTTACCACGTGTTAGGCGGTGAAAGATAACAGCATGTCTCAACAATTATGAAACTAGTAGATGAAGTCCGCTAAAACATATTGAGGCAAGGGATGTGCAAGTGAAAAAATATATCGATATATATGTCGTATCGATATTTTTAAACAGTATGGAGAATATCGATGTATCGTCATGTGTTGCATATGACAAGGCCCAAAATTTTATTAGTGGATTGGGCGACGAAAATAACACATGAATGCTTTTCTAGCTGCTTTTGTTGCTTAATGTTTTATCGATTAATACAACATTTTAAAATATATACAAATTGATACGAATTAGATACTCTAAAAGAAATATTGAAAATCGAAATTAAAAAATCGTGATTAAAGATATCGTCGGTATATACCTATATTTGTATGTGAAAATATTGATATTTCGATATCGATATTTTTTACTCAAGCCTAATTGGGGCAGAGCTATACTTCTTTGTCCACAGCTTGGCATAGGCTTCTCCCATTGTAGGGAGAATATTTTACGTGGTAGAGCCAAGCTGTAGCTAAATTATGGTTATTGCATGAATGGGTCGGCTCGACCGGGGATGGACCAAACTCTCACAGAATACCAGCGTAAAATAGCAGCTTAATGTTGCTGTGTTTCGTATGGTGAGTGCAGAGAACCGGAGACCCTTTTTACTGCAAACAAGGCATTCCATCCTCAGGGGTGACAATGCGTCTGGATTTTGATTCTTAATCGAAGATAAATGTAAATGTCTATAGGCGACAGCATCCACTTACCATCAGGTGGACTGTGTGCTCGTTTGTCCCCCCATTCTATTAAAAAGAAACCGGCAAAGTGCGAGTCGGACTCGCGCACCGTGGGTTCCGAACAAATCTGTAGGTATATAAGTTTAAAATTATTTAAAATATTTTTATTATATGATGTAACTAAAAATTTATGCTTTTCGCAATTATTCCTTTCTGTGCTATAAAACGTTGCTTCGTACCAAATTTCAAGATTCCGAGTTCACGGGAAGTACCCTGTAGGTTTTGATTCCCTTGCGAATGTCGAAAATTTACGGTATAAACGGCTGTATCTTTTGATTGCGTTGGCTTAAAAGTTTGATTTTTTCACAGTTCTAAGGAACAGTAGACTTGAGTATTTGGTATTAATTTCAGCTTAATACCTCCACGCGTTCCTGAGAAAAAGGGTCTTGACAGACAGACAGACAGACAATAAAGTAATCCTATAAGGGTTCCGTTTTTTCCTTTTGAGGTACGGAACCCTAAAAAGATTTGCTTCAATTGCCACGTCTCGTAGGTGGACTGATGATAGTAGCGCCACCTGTGAGCGCCTTCGACACTGCTCCTAGACGTCGGTATGGGTATTTTATCTATGGCGAATACGAGGGAGTGACAGATCATAATAATAATAAGTCCTCCAGACCGAATTTCGGTCACGGCACACGAGTGTTGGGTGTACTCTCTATTCCCTCACTCTCATAGTCCGATGGGACGGCTAACCGACGCGTCCGGAGAGAGATCAGGCGCAGCACCAACGACTTTACTTGCATTCCGAGGCACGGGGGCAAGACACCGTCATCTTATTGACTGAGAATTTCTTGGCAGAAAAACTATAACTTCTTTTTGGCCCGACCTGGGACTAGAATCCAGGACATGAGGTCGTATCACTATTGCGACCACTAGACTAATGAGGCAGTCAGGAGTGAGATCATAAAAATAAGTCTCGGTTAGTTCAACATTTAAATCATAATGAATTTATGTAACACTGGTGATTCGCTTTTCAGGCTATGGTCGTAGAGAAGTTGTGGAGCTGCTGATAGCCGGTGGCGCGGCCCTTCAAGCTCGTGATGAGGGTGGCCTGCAGCCCTTGCACAATGCTTGTTCCTTTGGACACGCCGATGTAGTGAGAGCCCTATTGACAGCAGGTGCGCCCCCAGCGGCCCGCGATAACTGGGGCTATACACCGCTGCACGAGGCTGCTGCCAAGGGGAAGGTTGACGTGTGTATAGGTGAGTTAACCGGTCCAAAATAAATAGAAAAAAAAAGAAACACCATACGAAACAGCAACGTTAAGCTGGTATTTTGTGAGAGCGTGGTCCTTCCCCGGTCGAGCCGACCCATTCGTGTTACAACTATACTACTAATATATCTGCAGCAAGGCTCTATTACGTATAATAATAATTAATATAAAAATTTATAATAAATGAAAGAATAATTCATTTAAAGTATATTTACTTTTTTCGTAATTATTAATAAAAATTAGTTGAATGAAATTGAAAGTTTGAATGAAAAAAAAACGACTTGTGATTGGTTGTGACGTTGGTGTGAGGCTGTGAGCCAATCGCAATCATGCTATACTTTTGTATTTTCTACTAGCTATTCCCCGCGACTTCGCCCGCGTGGAGTTATTTTTCCAAGCCCAAGTTACTCCTTATAACATCAGCTATCTTTTTTATCTTTTTTCTTTTTTATCTTTTTTTTTTTTATAAAACGTTACCCCCACACTAGGATTTTCTACTGTGTCGTGGAGGCAGTTTACAAACATAAATTGCACAAGGACAAACATCCAAACCCGGAACAATTATTTGTAGGCCATACAAATACTTGTTCCGTGCGGGATTCGAAATTCGGCTATCTGCCAGTGTGTATAAATATTGACAAATATTGACATTAATATTTATACGATACTAACGTCACTCATTTGCTGTTCTCCCACTTGCCCCTCCATTTCGTAGGACTGTGCTTGGTAACAACTCTCCTGTTAAGTAAACTTTATAATGGGCTCAGTAGCTGGATAGATATAAATTTTGTTTCCGCGTACAAGTTTCGCAAGTACTTGTTAGGTACAATATCAAATTAAGTTATTTTTTTTGTATGTTTTTTACACATAATGTCTAAATCACTGGTTGTTTTGTTTTAAAATGTTTTAATTATATTTTTTTTCTAAACATAATATGTAAATTAAGATTTTATTTATGGTTTAGCGGTGTTTACCTGTAAGTTATTGTGCAATTAGTATAAGACTTTATTATACATTTAGATTTAGTATGTTAAATTGTAACAATTGTAGGTAGGCCTTTCTGGAACCCCTTCACTAACACTTAAACTTTATGGTATGGTATTAAAGTTCAAATTGACTTTTAAGTATTATTACGAATCTTTTGTACGGGAATATAGAAAAGTGTTGTTTTTAGACTTTTGCAGGCAATCTTTAAAAATTTTCTCTCCGTAAGAACCATCTTCATACTTCAAGGAATATTATAAAAAAAGAATTAGCGAAATCGGTTCAGCTGCTCTCGAGATATGGCGCTTAGCAACACATTCAGCGATTCATTTTTATATTATAGATATTCGGATCACCAATTTGTGTAATCTCGCGCAAGTGCAAGCAATAAGTTGAGAAAGTTTTAGTGCAATCTGATGAACGGTATGGCACCGAATAAAATACGAACAAACAAAAATTAATTTTTATATATTAGATTCAATTAATGTATTATCATTCCTAATTAAACAATATAACTCTATCAACATTATATTATCCAGCCACACCCAATGCAATCAACCTGGATAGATAACAGAGTATTGTGTAGACGCGACACTGTAACAGCATTAAGACTCAGATCTGGACACATTCCATGCAATAAATTTTTATACTTGATGCGAAAAATTGCCTCACCAAATTGTTCAATTTGTAATATTATCGATGATGTTTATCACATTTTGATAGAATGTGCCCAGAACTCAAGAGAAAAAGCAAATTGTAATTTACATTTGTCCTTAATTCGTAGTAGTAACAGTATTTTATCCGACCCGTTATCAGATGATGCCAAAAAACTGTATTTGTTAGTAATTATATTTAAGATTTTTTTGTAACTACCAGGGCGGCATAATCGCATCAGCGACAAAGCCCTTTATATATGAATAAAAAAAAACATTATATTAATGTAATAACATTAATTTTTTTTGGCGTCCATTGTTTTTGTGCCTGAGTCAACCAGTTCATAAGGAATTTCTTTCAGCTCTACTCCAGCATGGAGCAGACCCAAATATACGAAACACAGAAGGAAAGACTCCTCTGGATCTCGCTGATGCTGCCACTAGACCTGTACTCACGGGTGAGTTTGGGAATTGTTTTTTTTTAAATTACTGAATCTTGACTGTAAGGACAGCTAAAAAAAGTTCAAAGACAATTAATTCACCTAGTTACATATCTGTAACTGTCTATTTTGCTCAATTTAATAAGAGAGATATTAATATTGAGATAATTTAATATTAAGAATGTGTACCCGGGTTCGATCCCCGCCGGCACCAATGAAATTGTTAATTGCAATTTTAAGTGCTGATTTACCACGTGCTCGGCGGTGAAGGAAAACGTCGTGAGGAAACCTGCATGTCAGAAAAATAAAAAGAAAAAAGTAATATTTCGAATACATGTGAAGTTCGTTCATGTGAACTGCAATGCGGCAGCGCGGTGAACATTTCCTTGCCCTAAATCCCGCTCAGAACTGTGAGGAGTACTTTGTCCTGCCTGTGTAGGTATTTAGGCTGTAACTTTAACCTTATGTGTACAATAATTTTTGTTAATATATTTGAAAATGTAGACACCGACACTATCGTAGAAAGTAGGGAGGAATGGAGGCGAAAAATTACCCCTTTAAGCACCCTTACCTACCCTTTTAGATTGTTTTCTTTTGTAAAATCACTACTTTATTGCCACTTCACGAACGTTTACCGTACTTTGTCACCCCCACCTCTTCCCGGTCTTCCTCTTCAGCATACGAGGGTGTCCGACAGGAAAAAACAACCCACATCAAGACTCTGAACAATAATAATAACAATAATCTTTATTGAGATAATATGAGGTTACAAAATAGCTTATGAAGCCTCTGAATCCTAAACTAGGTAAAAACCTGTATGTGAGGATTCAGCACTTTCTCCCATGTTTCTTAGCCTAATTCAATTCAAGACAATTTTCCAGAGTGTGTTTAGAGAATTAAGTAATAAAAATAATCCTCGAAAGAATGTTATTTGATAATTTTGCGGGCCATACAATTTGTTTCGTGTGGCATATATAATAACATGTGTAATATTCTTGTGGGACTCCACCGGGGCATACGCACTACACATTATAAGCCATAAGACCACTGCTGAACATAGGTCTCCCTCATAGAGGAGATATCAGCCATAGTTGTCACGGCAAGTGGGATTGTAAACGCAGTCATTTTTACTATTATTATTGCGTTGTTATCGGGAAGATCATCGGGAAGGCCCATCTCCTGTTACAGTTTCGCTACGTCGCAATATGACACACCAATGGTACGATGTGAGGTAGTAGAATGTCTACAGGGTGACAAACGAGCACACAGTCCCCCTGATGGTAAGTGGTTGCTGTGACCCATGGCTCTACCATGTATAAAGGCATATATCGCGCCTCTACATGGCACAGATGTATAATATTATACTTATTTAAGTCGCAAGTTTACGGTAAAATCAGGTTTTGATCAAAAACCTAGGGTTTTGATAATGGACCGGAAGAATACAAAATTATTACTTAATCGTATCATTAACCTGAAAAAAATCTTTTCTTTTGAAATCGAAAATGAACTTGTTTAGATTTATGATAAAATTTAAGCTTAGGTTAGGTTGACTTTATGATAAACTTAAATCAGTCTAGGTTTTTGATGAAAAACCAGGTGCTGTCATAAAACTGCGACATAAAAAAACCGCGGTAGCCCAGATGGTTAGCGCTCGCTGTCACATCACATCACAGTACTCGAGCAATCCAGGTTCGATCCCCGCCGGCAGCAATGAAATTGTTAATTGCAATTTGAAGTGCTGATTTACCACGTGCTCGTCGGTGAAGGAAAACGTCGTGAGGAAACCTGCATGTCAGAAAAATAAAAAATAAAAAAGTAATATTTCGAATACATGTGAAGTTCGCCAACTGCAATGCGGCAGCGCGGCGAACATTTCCTTGCCCTAAAACCCTCTTAGAAATGTGGGGAGGCCTGTGCCCAGCAGTGGGACGTATATAGGCTGTAACTTTTAACTTTTATATAAAAAAAAACAGATCTATACTGATATTGGGCATGTCTTAGGTGAGTACTGTGCGGCGGATGTGCTGGAGGCTGCGAGAGCGGGCGCGGATGACAGGCTGGCGGCCCTGCTGACGCCCCTCAATGTGAACGTACACGCGGGAGATGGGCGAAGATCAACGCCCCTCCATCTAGCGGCCGGGTACAACCGGGCGAGGGCGGTGAGGCTGTTGCTGCAACGTGGTGCCGATGTGCACGCGAAGGATAAGGGGTGAGGATTCTTGATGACTTGACATCTCCCTTGTGGAATCGACTAGGATAGAATAAGGGTGACAAACGAGCACACATCCCACCTGATGGTAAGTTGATGCTGTGGCTCATAGACATCTACATCTATCCTCGATTAAGAATCAACATGCAGATGCGTTACCACCCCTGAGGAATAAGATGGAATGCCTCGTTTCCCATGAAAACGGTCTCCGTATATCCCAATTCATGTAGTTGAATTAATGCATCTTATTTAAAAAAATGGTTATTTATATCTTAGCAAGCAAATAATATCCTGACCTTAAAAGAAACCAGTTATTTCAATATTACAGATAGACACTTCAATTTTATCTATATGTATAGATAAATAATTTAAGCGACATTAGCCCAATGGTAAGGCACGGACTGCAACTCATAAAGTCGTTCTTACGACTACTATATTTTATCTATACTATATGTATATTCTTGCTATATTTTATCTGAAGAAACTTCTAGATTTAGAGTTTCATTCCAATCTTAGCACAATATACGGCAGTTTGTTTCAATATTACAGACAACATGTACGGGTAGAGCCACGCTGTAGTTATATTATAGTTGTAGCACGAACGGGTCGGCTCGAGGGACCACGCTCTTACAGAATACCCTAGGTTCAAACCCGCCATTAGACTACTGTGGTGAACCACTTAATAAAAGCATTTTGAAGCTAACTTAGTGTGGTTAAGAGGAGGGTTAACAATGTTAATAGTGTTTCTAATATATATTTATTGAAAAAAAAATTAACGTCCGCCCTAGGATTTTCTCCTGTGTCGTGGTGGCAGTTTACATACATAAATTGCACAAGGACAAACATACAGACCTGGAACAATTATTTGTGGGCCATACAAATACCTGTTTCGTGCGGGATTCGAACCCGCTGTCCTCAGGGCCATAACTCAGGCGCTGCGCCACGGAGCCGTCTGTTATGGAATATTATTTATTATAAAAAACAACACTGACTGCAAATCTCGTCTTACAGAGGTCTAGTGCCACTTCACAACGCTTGCTCCTATGGCCACTACGAGGTTACAGAACTGCTTGTGCGAGCTGGGGCTGACGTCAACGCAACCGACCTTTGGGCCTTTACACCCTTACACGAAGCAGCCAGCAAGGCGAGGCTTGAGGTGAGCGATAGTGAACCTTAAAGTACATATGTTAAGGTGAAATTTGTATGCGAGTTGTAAGTAAAAATTTCTAATTATGTTCTTTTTACGGTTAGGTTAGGTTAGAGCGATAATGAACCGTAAAGTACACAGGTTAAGGTCGGTAAATTGGTATGCGAGGTCTAAAGTCTAAATTTCTAATGATGTTCTTTTTACAGTTAGGTTAGGTTAGGTTAGAGCGATACTGAACCTTAAGTTACATTACGTCAAGGTCGAAATTTGTATACGAGTACTAAAGTTAACATTTCTAATGATGTTCTTTTTACGGTTATATTGGACTGTTTTCTACCGACTTCCAAAAAGGAGACGGTACTCAATTCGACTGTATGTTTTTTTATGTGTGTTACTTCATAACTTTTTACTGGGTGAACCGATTTCAATGAGAACTTTTTATTTGAAAGCTGATACTTCTCGTGTGGTCCCATATAAATTTGATTAAGGTCAGACCAGGAGCTATTGAGTTATTCTTAATAACTTATATTGAAGTCGGCTGTACAAAATTTTTAATTTTTAAATTATGTTAACAATTTTGATTAATGATTTAATGCAAGCAAATCTTTCTTGACAAAACAAGTGGTTGTTGATTTTGTAGAAGGTGTGTTGTAAGAATATCCACTATCCCATATCGAGTCGTGTCATAAGATGCGACAGAGGGAAATAAATTAAAAGTTGGGCAACAGCGTCTTAGTAACAACAACTTAAAAAAAAACTACCGTTGCTAACCCGCGTGCCAAGCGTGGCAACTATGGCATATATTCCTGCTAAGAGGCAATCTATGTATTTTAATAGGCTTTAAAAGTAATATTTCTTTAAAATAGTGACCAATCTTTTCTTTTTGTTTGTCTAATTAATCAGCTTGCTTGCAGTGGGGTACATGAATCTTGATATTATTAATTTTTCTTCTCTACGTCTAAATCAACTTTAAAAGTAAAATATTACCTGAATACAATTTTCATTTCCAAATCGTTGGAGCCGATACCAAAAAAACGTAAAAATTCATTCGTTCATTAGAGCATTTGTTCCTTCATTCAATTATTCATTCATTCGTTTAGGCCATCCCAAAGATTTCTTCATATCAGGCGGTCACGGTTCCTAACTTAGGGGTTTTCCCCCTAAATTTAGCGGGCAAATAACTGGGATGGAACTTTTTTAGGGGCTTTATATTTTTAAGGGTAATTTTAGGGACTTTTTTTCACTTTAGCTGATTTTGGTTTAGAAGTTAACGATGATTGCAACGCAGCTGGCTGTAAACCTTTTGAAAATGTCTGAAGATTCGGGCTGTATGTTTTGCTTTAATTATCGCAGTGGCAATTTTTTGTTATCTGTTGAAATGCTACCAAGTGTGATAATGATCTGATTCACATTGCAACGAAATAGCGCATCATTTAGTATATTTAATCCATATATTGCCAACCCGCTTGCCAAGCGTGGCAACTATGGCAAATATGCCCCCTACAAGGCAATCTATTGGGGAGGAGGCCTATGTTCAGCAGTGGACTTTAATAGGCTGTAATGAAGGGGTGTGTAGAAGATAATCTACCAGGAGCACATGACCCACTGAGAGGGGAAATTTCAAATCAACAGTAACATTACAACTATGGCAAATATTCCCCCTACTAGGCAATCTATGGGGGAGGCCTATGTTCCGCAGTGGACTTTAATAGGCTGTAATGGAAGGGTGTATAGAAGATAATCTACCAGGAGCACATAACCCACTGAGAGGTGAAATTTTAAAGCAACGGTACCATTACAACTGTGGCAAATATCTACCCTACGAGGAAATCTATGGGGGAGGCCTATGTTCAACAGTAGGTTTTAATAGGCTGTAACGGTGACGGTAAGAAAATGGTAGAACTCAACCATCTTCTCTATAGAAATTAGGATGTTTTTTAATTTCAAATTTCAATAGCCTCACAAAACATCCTTCGTGGGAATCGGTGTTCTTTAGTGAGGATTTGTGGTGTATCAAATTTGATATATTTTTTTGATTTCGCTATTTTTCCGGAGCGTCTTCACGTCAGCTATATTATGTTCTTTTTGGGGGTTTATGGATTGTTTTGTTTGTCCTATGTAAGAGAGGCCACTTTCACAATCAAGCTTGTACTCTTGTATTGGAATATTTCACTTGACCGATGGTAAGAACTGACGAATAATCTTCGGCAAATTGTAGTAAAAAAAAAATTAAACACAACAAAATTCATTTAATGTGTTGTATTCTCGTAAATATAAGAAATCATTATTACACTCTAGTTTTTTCACACAGTGAAAAAAATTAACCAATCTATACAGTGGTGGTTGCTTATTTAAAGTATCAAGATTTATGTAGCGTTTGTTAGGGTAGTATTATATTCATTAAAATTACCTCTTTGTTTTAGGTGTGTTCGTTACTGCTGAGCGAGGGAGCGGACCCAACTCTACTGAACTGCCACGGGAAGTCAGCCCTCGATGTGGCACCAACACGAGAGCTGCAAGAGAGACTGGCCTGTGAGTATCATTTGCTTGTAGAAACTGCGGTATTAAGTCATTTTGTCTTTCAAAAGTAGTGAAAACTGCCTTTAATTATGACACCCGTCTATGGGATTTTAATCAATAATAATGTACTCGAAGACGCCTGAACCGATTTGAAAAATTCTTTCTTTTTGTTTCAAAGTGTTGGTCGCATTTAAATATTATCGAAATCGGTCGAGCGGTTTTAAAAAGTCAGTAATAAATTATATTGAAGTCGGTTGTACAAAATTTTTAAATTTACCACTTGTATTCTTTTTAGTTCCTTGAACTCGGCTTCTTACCTTTAATTAAGTCTAGTCTTTTTTGAACACTTTGAGTTAACCAAGAAATATCACAAGCTCTAATGTCCTAAATAGTTAGATTAAAAATTTAATTCCCTATTTTTTAACCGACTTCAAAAAGGAGGAGGTTCTCAATTCGAGTGCGTTGTTTATTTGTATGTATGTTACGCGATCACTTCACGGATTGTGAATCAATGTTGATGATTTTTTTTTATTAAATATTTTGTTTTTCGAGGGTGGGCCACGTTTCATTACGTGGTAGAGGTTCTCTACTGTCGCCATACGAAACACATCAGTATTAAGCTGCAATTTTACTCTGGAATTCTGTGAATGCGTGGTCCCCTTCCGAGCTATTATACCGCTGGAGCTCGGTTCTACCAACAATTGTGCATACCATATAGATGATATTCTTGGTCAGTAATACAAGACTTTTCTTTCTAGTCGAGTATCGAGGCAATTGTCTTCTAGAAGCGTGCCGCCTTGCAGAACCGGCTAGAGTGAAGAAGCAGTTGACCGTAACCAACCAACAGCAGATGGTGAGTTGAAAGTTCCAATGAAATTAATTTTTACGGATCCACCAATGTGTTTTGGCTGACTGACAGAAACACTGTAAGTGTTTCGGGCATAATTTATTTATTTATTTGGTTCACCAACAAATGTTACAGTAATACATATGCTTAATTCTAATACAGTAATATAAACTAAGTGCACATTCAATAATAGGTAAACACCGCATGCTTAGTGTTCACAGCATTTCCTACAAGCCGTTAACAAATACCTAAAAATATACGATACAAAATTAAAATAAAAAATAAGACAAAATTATTAAATGAATACAAAAAAAAAGTTACTGCAAAGGAACATTAATATTATGATAAATGTTGTGCCGAAAAACGTTAATAGTCGTGGTGTATATCTACTACATTATTATAGGTATTTAAAAGTCTGCAAAGTCCGGGTATTGTGGAATTAAATCCCAGTACAGTTCTACGAAGAATCGGCGAAAGTCGAGTAATGAATTTACGAGGATATCCAGTTGGGATACGAAAATTAAATTTACGTAGTAATAAAGGGCAACATAACTTATTTCTGAATATTTTATATAAAACTTGCAAATCCATAATGTAAAGAATGGCAACCGCAGTTTTATTTTCGAGATGTAATTAGTAAGACGCTGCGTCCATTTCCTCCAGTATATCTAAATTAACAAGCTGACTTAGTTTTGCAGCATATGCTGAAAGAAAGATTGGAATTCTCATTAGTTACTTTTAAAGCGTAATCACTTATGTAATTTTGCTATGGGGCAATGCGACAGACATTGAAGCCATATTTGTTTTGCAAAACAAAACAAACAAAATTGTAAAGATTCCCTCACAGAAAATTTTAAAGAAATACACATATTAATTTTGACATCGCAATGTATTTATAAAAATGTAATGTATGTTCAAGACGCGGCACGTAAGTCTAGCGCTGAACGCGGAGCGGATGCGCACGAATTGAATTGTACGAACACGATTGGAGCGCCAATCAACGCGACTTATGCGCAATAAAGGTCACCGCTAGACTTTCGTGCCGCTAATTATACATAAAAACATAAATTGTTTTAATAAGAATAAGGATGTTCATACTTTAAACACTAAGAATACCAACATAAACTTGTAATGCCAGTTACTAGACTCCATATAATCAGTAATTAATTTATGGGGCAATGTGTAGGCTTTTACAACAAAATCCCAGAACATGTTCAAAGTTCGTCAAAAAACAATTTTAAAAGTTTTATTAAAGAAAAACTGTACAAAAAGTTTATTATAACTTTACAACCAGTGCATGTTGCCAGTGAAGACTTATGGAACTGAGACGTGGTCCTTCACTGGTCTGGAGGAAGCTCAAGGTCGCTCAGTGAGCTATGGAGGGGGACTATGCTTGGGGTTTCTCTGCGTGATAAACTTAGAAATGAGGATATCCGCAGTAGAACCAGAGTAACCGACATAGTCCAAAAGATTAGTAATCTGAAGTGGCAATGGGCCAGCCATATAGCTCGAAGAACCGACAACCGATGGGGAAGAAAAATTCTGAAATGGCAGCCTCGTACAGGTAGGCGAAGTATAGAGCGATCCCCCACTAGATGGAGTGACGACCTGTTGAGACATGCAGGAAGTCGATGGATGCAGGTGGCTGAAGACCGTGCTTTGTAGCATTCCTTGGGGAAGCATTGTGTTCAGCAGTGGACTTGTAAAGGGCTGTAATGATGATGATGATGATCATGATGAATACTGCCAATGTCTTTTAGCAGAATTTTATTAAGAGAAGCCATAAAGTAAAGAAAAACTATGTACAAGCATATTATGTATGTTTTTACTCTAAGGCCCATGTCAAACACTTAATAGTCTGTGATCAAACAGTCGCACAGAGTACATATAGTCGCTAAAGAATTTTAAAAGTAACTGAATTTTGTGTAATTTCGAACTCTTTCAATAGTGTATCCATTATTTTAAATGAAAATATCTATGTTTTATAATTAATAAATGTGCATTAGAAAGTGAAATCCAGCTTGCCTAATATACAAACCCTAAAATAATAATTATAACTTAAATTTAAAATTTAAAAAAACCCCCGAAACAAAGAGCTGATGATCTTCAAAACGGTTGAACAGATATTATTGAAACATTTCTAAGAACACTTTCGATTAAGACAACTTTCAAACGAAAAAACAAACTTAATCAAATCAAAAACGGATGAGCCGTTCAGGAAATGTGATGCCACAGACAGTGTGTGTGACAATGTGTGATACACAGATACACACACACACACATACACACACACACATAACCACAAATACACATATAGATACGTTAAACACATAACACCTCTCCACCTCTAGTTTTTTTATTACTTTGGTCTTACTCTCAGATAATTTCGTCTGTATTTTTCAACAAAACATGGAGTAGCCAATACTGGGAATTGTTATTCTAAAGTTGGGTTATATTGTACTCATGCGTCCAGTGGTCGTAAACGCGGCCGCTGATTCGAATTTCGATTCGAATGTCGGGTCCGGTCAAAAATCAGTCATTGAGATTTTTTTTATCAAGAAATTCTCAGTGGCAACCCGGAGTCAGGAAGTTGGCGGTGTTTTGCCGTCGTGCTTCGAAAGCACGAAAGTGGTTGGTCCTTGCGTCTGATATCTCTCAGGTCGTGTGGGATTACTCTCTCCCATCGGACTATGAGAGTGAGGCAATAGAGAGTGCACCTGTGCTAGCGCACACACACGTGCACTATGACCCTGTCCTGCGCAGATGGCTAGTCTCCGTTCAGACAAGCCGTCGTGACCGAAATTCGGTTTGGAAGACATTATTATTATTTGGGGTATATATATATATATATATATATATATATATATATATATATATATATATATATATATATATTTCTCATCTGGAGCTGTATAAATATATAATTGTAAATGAAAATGATAAATATACACAAATATCAATAAAATAGAATAAATACGTAAAAAATACATAAATAAATAAAAACCCAACCAGATGGAAGCCCTCGGCAGGGAGACCAAACGGCCGAGGGTTAGGGGGAAGGGAAAGAAACCGGCGGACGATGCTGGCGGTATCGAAGAGCACCGCCTACTGCATTTGAGCCTGGAGCGGTCCGTCACGGAGTCCCAGTCGCCTCAGATGATCTGAGATTCTGACCGGGATTAGCCCGTTCGCAGAAACGACCACAGGAATAATTTCGGTCGGCAGACCACCCCACATATCGGTCACCTCGTGAGCCACGTCCAGATATTTTGTCAGCTTGTCTGTTTCTATTGTGTTATTATTATTATTATTATAATGTACTGGTAATATGTAATTGAGCTACCGTCCCTGCAATGGTGGTTGCAGCAGTGTGGGCAAGTTGCGGGCGAACCGGGCGTAAGTGCGGAGTGCGTGGAGGCGCTGGTGAACTTCGCACAGGCGGTCAGCGGCGACCGTCCGCTGCACTGCGCCGCCGCTAGCCTCTACCCTAAGCGCAAGCAGGTACCACCACACACCCACAATCTACCACCCACCACTCACAATCCATCACCCACCACTTGCCATCCATCACCCACCACTCACCATCCATCACCCACCATCCACCAATCACCATCCACCAAACACCATCCACCAAACAAACATACAATCGAATACAGAACCTCTTTCTTTTTTTTAAGATATCAAAATTAAAAAAAACATCGATTACGTGTTAACTCGGTTTGCTTACACGCTGCTTATATTTAAGACGAGTAAGAACTCGTGAGCATGCCTGAGCTACAACTGTTAAAAACCGCATTTCTTATACACCAGGTGATGGAAATACTGATAAGGAAGGGCGCGAGAGTGAACGAGAAGAACAAAGAAGGGCAGACCCCCCTCCACGTGGCGACGGAGCACGCGCATCTGGACGCCATGGACTTGCTGTTGCGACACGGTGAGGGCGATTTAGATTTGTTATTTATTTCATTTAAAGTTACAGTTTCAGCCCATGTACCTTCCACTACTGGGCACGGGCCTCCTCTAATTTCTGAGAGGGTTATAGGGCAAGGAAGTGTCCGCCGCGCTGCCCCAATGAGTGTTAGGGAAACTCACATCTCTTGAAATAATTTGTGGTTAATCAGCACTTAACATTGTTAACAATTTCATTGCCAGGTTGCTGTAGCCACTTGACATTAGGAAGGGTATAAGCTGTTTTTTTTTATAGAATAAAGTTGACAAACGTGCATACAGTCCACCTGATGGTAAGTGGATGCTGTGGCCAAAAGACATCTACATTTATCTCCGATTAAGAATCAAAATGCAAATGCGTTGTTACGCTCGAGGACTGATATGGAATGCCTCGTTCCCAATAAAAAGGGTCTCCGGTTCTCTACACTCACCATACGAAACACAACAGCATTGAGAGGAACTTATAGATTTCGGTCTGATTTTGAGAATGCCAGTTTTCATCAGATCTCTATGTTTTGAGTTTCCTAGGAAGCTGTTCATGTATTTATGTATGTATGTATGAATGTAAATAAAATTTTGTCGTACGATATCTTTAGAACGAACCTACCGATCGAGATGGGCGACACGGCGTTCGAAAATGTTCATTGAGACTTCGAGATGATTAGATTTTCAAGTCAATCGGTCGAGCCGTACCAGATTTAAAAAAAAAAATGAAAATTAACTAGATTTCCGTGCGTTGCGCTCGATATTAAGCGGGAAGTTCCAGGGATATCCTGCAGGGTCAACCGCATTTAAGATTTTTGGAGTTTACTATGTATTTAAGAATCGATTTTCATATATAAGCCCGGGGTATGAAAATTTATGTGGAGTAAAATCGAACGTTACGTCATGCGTTACGTTATGTATTATCTTGCGCAGCCCCCAGCACAGAGTACGCTTTTTTTGCGCCCAAAGCAAGGGCTACCCTCCGGGAAGCGGGAAAGGGAGGTGGTGAATGCTCGTGGCATACCACGTAGCCGGCTGCGTGGTAATGTGGGACTCACTATGAAGTGCCTACCCACTAAACACCACCTGTGGGACTGGCTTTGGCCTGTAAGGCCTTTCTGCCGAATCGGAAGCGACCCCCTTTAGGGAAAGGGGGCGCAGTGAGAGTACTCTCGGCTGTACTAATTTATATAAACCAATATAAACAAATAACAACTGTCAACTTGCGGAGTTTTGATATTAAATTTCATATACTCGTACAATCGTTCGTAAGGAGGTAAACTCCAGTCGTGCGTCGGAGCTGACACACACACACACACACACACACACACACACACACACACACACACACACACACACACACACACACACACACACACGCACACGCACACGCACACGCACACGCACACGCACACGCACACTCACACTCACACACGCACTCACTCACTCACTCACTCACACACACTCACTCACTCACTCACTCACTCACTCACTCACTTTTTTATTTTATTATTTTTTGTTTGTCTTGAAGCAGTTGCTATGTAGCAATAAGATCGCATTTTGTTTTCCTTTAATATATTATATTTGTATATTTTGTTATATTTTTTCTTGATTTACAATAAAGAGTATTGTATTTGTAATACTATAGTGACTTAGATTTCAGAAATAATTATCAATAATCCTTTATTTTATCAACTATTAACCTTTTTACAAAAAACAAAAGGTATTTGGATGAAATATATGGTTGAGATAACTCCTGGCATTGCTCTATCTATTTGTGAAGTTTCATCACAAGCGGTTCAGCTATTCCGATGATTAGCAGGCACAGACAGACAGACAGACAGACAGACAGACAGACAAAATTTTTGTAAATGGTAATTCACGTCTTGATGGTGTATACATAGGGTGTTATTTGCATGAGCTCGATCGATACAAGGCACTTACTTCGATATTACAGACAGACAATTATATACACTCTTTGCTGTGCGAACAGAATTGTACTTTATTGTGTCGTAGTGGAGACGTTATTTATTTAAATGATCTGTACCTTGTACCTAAGTATTCAGTGGTGATGAAGTGGGCGGTGAATTGACGCAGGTGCGAAGGTGAACGCTTGTGATGCTCGTGGCGAAAGTGCATTATGTGTGGCGGCGCGCAGAGATTCCGCTGCGGCGTGTCGCCTGCTGCTGGCGTGCGGGGCGGACGCTCGTACGGACCGGCCCGATCCGGACCGATCCGATCCGGACCGGTCGGACGTGCCGGACAGAGCGGATCACACGGAACGCACCGACCACCCGGATATCGCGCACGCTGACGGTGAGTACCGCATGCATACAGATCACACGAATTGTGTTACCGCCGTTTCTCAAATTAAAATATTCCGCGTTTTTTGTCAATCTTATTGACGCATCGGATTTCCACTATAATACCTTTCATTAATTCCTTCTTGCGACCGACAACCGGGTAGAAGAAGAAGTCTAACTAAGAACACGCCCGCACGCGGAAGCATATTGTGTCACGCTCGCTACTCGTATATCTATTTAATTATAATACGCTAAAATCACGTCCGTGAATTGTATAAAATAAGTGTAAATCGCGCAAGAAAACTAGGAGTGTACCACGCGAGTGTCAACCTCAAGTACGAAGAGAAGCTGACGACGTTCTCCAGGTGCGTACCTTCAGTTTTATGTGTCGGTTGCAAATATCAACGAAATCCAATTCCAACTACCTATTACAGTCCACTTTATTCCAAATTTTGAACCACGCGTCACCAAATCGTGAGCACAACTGGACCGTGTTATGCAGAAATGTTTCAACCCCCAAAACAAAGTTATATTGATTTGAAATATAAATGCATTTTTCTTGTGACAGAATCCCTAATATTTTTTTTATTATACTCCATATCATCTCGTGGCGATAGAGGGAAACAAATAAGGAGATGGGTAGCAGCGTCTTCCTAAAAATGTTACAGCTTATACACTTCCCACTGCTTGGCACTGGCCTTCTCTTAATTCTGTGAAGGTTATAGGGCAAGGAAATATCCGCCGCGTAACTCCAGTGCGTGTTGGCGAACTTCACATGTCTACGAAATATTTTTTTTTCCTATTTCTCAGACATGCAGGTTTCCTCACGATGTTTTCCTTCACCGCCGAAAACGTGGTAAATCTTCTTGATAAAAATAAATAATAAAAAACTGCGGTTGCCAACCCGCTTACATAGTGTGGCAACTATGGCAAATAAGAGGTAATACCCCCTAAGAGGTAATCTATAGGGGAGGCCTTTGCTCATCAGTGGATTTAAATAGGCTGTAATGGATGGATGTATAGAAGATAATCTACCAGGAGCACATGACCCACTGAGAGGTGAAATTTTAAAGCAACGGTACCATTACATCAATGGCAAATATCCCCTTATAAGACAATCTATGGGGGAGGCCTATGTTCAGCAGTGGACTTTGATAGGCTGTAATGGATTTATGTATAGAAGATAATCTACCAGGAGCACATGACCCACTGAGAGGTGAAATTTTAAAGCAACGGTACCATTACATCAATGGCAAATATCCCCTTATAAGACAATCTATGGGGGAGGCCTATGTTCAGCAGTGGACTTTGATAGGCTGTAATGGATTTATGTATAGAAGATAATCTACCAGGAGCACATGACCCACTGAGAGGTGAAATTTTCAAATCAACAGTAACATTAAAACTATGGCAAATATCCCCCCATGATGCAATCGATGAGGGAGGCCTATGTTCAGCAGTGGACTTTAATAGGCTGTAACGGTAACTATTTTTTATTATTGTCATTCACTCTCAGTATATTGATTGAAAAATGTACACATTACTGTCACATTGTGTCACAAAGTTGTTGCTCACGACTGGCGCCTCTGTTTATACTCGCATAATTTGTTTGAAACTTTTTTTTATTTGGTAAAGGACTTCTACGCTTGTATTTTTGCCAGTGTCAATAATAAGAAAATAGTCTTTTTAATATATCGTTTGATAAACTTATTCACAATATTCTGATACGTCACGTTGCATAATTTTTGGTAGATTTTAACGACAGTTTAACCCAGTGGACAGTCCTCTCGCCGACTGTCCACTGGTGTTCATAGTTTTTATGGTGCCTAAGAGGACAAAATAACTTGAGGTTTATATCAACATTTAAGCACTTGTTTAGTCGTTTCCATTAATAATTCACATGAGCTGACATTTAGTACATAAAATTGCAACTTTTATACGTCCAAATCAACTTTGATAAACTTAGAAATGAGGATATCCGCAGTAGAACCAGAATGGCCGACATAGCCTAACGGATTAGTAAGCTAAAGTGTCAATGGGCCGACAACCGGTGGCGAAAAAAGTTTCTCGAGTGGCAGCATCTTACCGATAGGCGAAGTGCAGGGCGACCCCGGACGCAGTGACGACCTGGTGAGACATGCAGGAAGTCGATGGATGCAGGTGGCTCAGGACCGTGCTTTGTGGCATTTCTTTGAGGATCTCTGTGTTCAGCAGTGAACTTGTGAAGGGCTGTAATGATAATGATGATTGAAGGTGAAAGAGAACAGCGTATAGAGACGCATAGATGAAATGAGTATCAAGCAGGCCACGAGCACGTATGTCAGTGTGTTTACGTCACACACTTGATTGTATCGCGATGATTCTGTGCAGGGTTGACAGCTCCCGTTTTATATTGTATGTTCATACGCTATGTAACATAGTTTGTTTCTCTAAAATCGCGCGGAAACTCAAAGTGATTTTTAAACTCTGAACTCAACTAGCTAGATAGATTTTAACTTAGGGGACAAGAACAATTTTTGAGTCTGAGAAATAGAATGCCCTTTAAAGTAATATACGTCTGGCAACCCTAATTATGTGGGAAGTGGACGTGCTATGGTCATCAATGATTTATTGATGTCGTGTCTGTCAATGGAAAATCATCAAAGGTCGCTCTATACATTTCAGTACTCTGTTATCAGTGACAATGTATGTCGTTGTCGTGTCGCCTAATGAGAAAACATTCTTAAAGATAGTTGTAATACATATATGCGCTGCTATACCGTTCATCAGGATTGCGCTAAAACGTTGTCAACTTACTGCTCGCACCTGCACGAAGGTTATAGGCATAGTACAATTAACTTACAGTAGGTGGCGCGCGTATCGTACCGACAAATTTATTTGAAAGACATATGTTTCATTCAATTTGAATGAATGTATCATCATTCTTAATTAAACAATGTACCTCTACCAAATATAAAACGATATTTCCCATAATTATTTCATCTGAGGCAGCAACGCGCCGGGTACCAGCTATTAAGATATCTAATATTAATTGTATATGTAGTTTTATTAATTATATTTCAACTCTTTTCTTATCCTCGCTAATTTATTTCATACGCTTCGTAAATCGGATTAAAATTTTTTATCATTTTTGTTGCCCATTTGTTGAATTATACTAAAGTTTTTTTTTTGACAAAATGCGCTATGTGCTAGTAATTAATAATTATTGTTAAGGAATGATCTAATGAACAAATAATTTTTCGTCGGAACATGGGAAAAACTGCACATTCGTGTGTGGTTTTTTTCTTTTTCGGCGTAACAAAACTTGTTAAACGATTTGTTTCGTTGCACACACTAATTTTAATTTAATTCTGAAAAAAGATTAAATCTGAACTTACAACGTGTGCACTTCAAAAAAACCCTCAAACAAACG